CTGTTGATGCTTATCTGTACATGTAAATAAAATTGGAGTGTCTGTTTGTAATATTTAAATAACCGCTTTTTACTACATGCATATGAATATATATACGGCACCTACACACACTAAAATAACTTTTTTTTTCAATTTTTGTTTGTCTGTCTGTTTGTTCCGGCTAATCTCTGGAACGGTTGAACCGATTTTGTCAAGACTTTCAATGATAAGTAGCTGATGATATAAGCAGTAGCTTAGTCTACTTTTTTTGACTAGCACCCCGTGGCGTCAACCGCGGTACGACAATAACCGCGGGTGACATCGCGGGACTCAGCTATCAATAATAAAATTTAATGTTTTGGGAACCGAAGCGAGGGCGGGTCACTAGTACCAAATAAAACGCATCTTTAATCTATATATATAAAAATGAATTGCTGTTCGTTAGTCTCGCTAAAACTCGAGAACGGCCGGACCGATTTGGCTAATTTTGGTCTTGAATTATTTGTGGAAGTCCAGAGAAGGTTTAAAAGGTAGATAAATATGAAAACGGTCGAAATTAAATATAAAAATAGAAATTTTGCTTTTCCTTTGATGTGTCCCCCGTCGGACGGATTCATTTTGTTTGTTTTAAGTTTATATTATAGAAAACTTTAGGTCTTTTATTTATTGATTGAGGCACTACGAAGTCTGCCGGGTCAGCTAGTTACAAATATAAATGTCGCTTATAAAGCGAAATGTCGCTTGAATCAAATAGTATTTCACCCCTCGATATAATATATGTATGTATATACATAATAATATGTACTTCAAATGGCTATCAATTTGGAAGTAAACACCGGTTAACCTCTAAACACTAACATGCTCTACACTACGCTATTGGTAACATCACAACTGACTTCATTACAAGTGAAACTTCTTTGGCCTTCGATGGGAGAGTGATCGAACAACAATTGAGTCGTCTATTATCAAAGGTGGCAATCTGTGCATTTGGACAAAAAAATGTTATTGATATATCAATACAGATTGATTTGAATATAATCGTCTCCTTCAAAGAATACGGTTCAAAACCTGCATTAAATAAAGGTTAATACTTAACCTGTTATTTATCTAAGATGTCGTTCCGAAGAGTTTTGTGACTGCCAATGGAATACAAAGTCAATAATTCGTTTTTCTGATTTACCAATATTGTTCAAAAGTCAGATTGCCGGCTTTGATAATAGACGACTCATTTGTATGAAGTCGGAACAGCGCCTCTAGCGGCAAACTTAGGCAAACGCTACGTTACCTGCTTTAACTTTTACGCTGTCGAGAGCGTTATAAAACTCGCATTAAGCATTCAGGTCTATGCATGTCTCCAGCGACCTTGACGTAAAAGGATATCCTAGGTAGGGGCTTAATCTGGAACTGGTCCAAATTAAATAATTTTTAATTAATTATTCTCTATTGCACACACGTTTTAAATATATTATGTGAGTCGTCTATTATCAAAGGCGGCAATCTGTACATTTGGACAAAAAATTTTTATTGATATGTCAATACAGATTTATTTGAATATAATCGTCTCCTTCAAAGAATACGGTTCAAAACCTGCATTAAATAAAGGTTAATACTTAACCTGTTATTTATCTAAGATGTCGTTCCGAAGAGTTTTGTGACTGCCAATGGAATACAAAGTCAATAATTCGTTTTTCTGATTTACCAATAATTGTCCAAAAGTCACATTGCCGGCTTTGATAATAGTCGACTCAATTAGAAAGCAATCCGCAATGTTTGAAATGATTCAATCGTCAATCTTTAACCGACTTCAAAAAAAGAAGAGGTTCTCAATTCGACTGATTTTTTTTTTTTGTTATGTTTGCTGCCTCATAACTTTTGACTGGATGAATCGATTTTGATGATTCTTTTCTTATTAGAAAACTGACGCTTCCCGTGTGGTCCCATTTCAATTTAGTCCAGTTCTGATAATGGTATCCATGAGAAAACCATATAAGTCCTAAATTTGCATTAAGTACGTGCGCGACAAATATGTAGATGAATAATAACTCAATAACACAATATCACGCCAACCGATTTCGATAATTATTGTTTTTAGTCTATATTTATTTGTTTTGGAATATCTTTTATTTTCTGTTTGCAGTCGGTTTTTGTTAAAGCATGTTTTTTTATTTTTTTTATTGCCTTTGTAGGCAGACGGGCATACGGCCCACCTGATGGTGAGTGAGAGTCATAGCGCTCGGGAAACACCGTGGAGAAACTATTTACAATTATATGAAATGACTAGCTGACCCTGCAAACGTTGTCTTGCCATATATAAGATTTCTAGAGAATTTCTAGTGTAGAAAAAAAATTACTTTGAAGTGTATAAGGATGTGGAATATGAGTGAAAAAGGCCTGGAGCGCTGTGAACGATGAGGGAATGTTGTTTAAAAATAACAAAACACCAAACATTAATTGTTTTAATTTATTAAAAGTAATAGTTATATATATAATTAATTCATTACATAATATTAATCTCTTAATGCTGCAGCGTGAACAATATTTTTTGTTAGCCCGTCTTTAGCTAATACAAACAAACTTGATGGTTTACCCACTCGAGAGCATGCAACGCATAATTGTCCGTGTGAAAAATATGGTGTGCTCTAATTTAAGCCACAAACAGACATTGTTTGACCTTGGGATTTATTAATAGTCATTGCAAATGCCAATCTAATCGGAAATTGAATACGCTTAAATTGAATTGGCACATCTGTGGGTATAATAGGTATTCGTGGTATCAATATATTTTCACCTCGAAACTTACCATTGAAAATGGTGCCTTCGATAACTTTTTTCATTATTTTTTTAATGTCTAATCGCGTACCGTTGCATAGCCGTGGCGGGTTCAAATTACGAAGCAAAATAATTGGAGATCCAACCTTTAATTGTAAATTATGTGGTGGCATGCCTGGCAAATCCAGTGAGTTCAAAAACTCTGTTGGAAAATTTACAGCTTCAGTGTCATCGCAAACTGTATCAATACATTTATATGATACCAAGTCCCCTGGCAATAACTGTTGTATCTTCAGATTTAAAATGTCAACGTCCACATGTTTTGCAGCTAACATTGCTCTTTCTGCAAGCCACTCGAGATTTATGTAATTCGTGTGTACATCGGGAAATATTTGTTCAATGAGAGCATCTTGCGAATCAATGATAGTGCAGAAATCATTCGCTAATTTTATGTATTCAGTTTCAGCTATAGTGACTTTTCCATCGCCGATATCGTTGTTTTGAGAATGTTTCAGCGGATGGATCTTGAAGCATTTGAACGCGCATATTTACTTTCAGCTGTACTATTTCAACATTACGCCACAATGTCGATGATTTTAAGCAGGCGTTGATTTCATCAGCGTATGTTGAACTTGGAATGACGGGAAGTGTTTGTCTGAAGTCACCTGAAAGGACTAACCGAGTGCCACCAAATAGTTTGTCGTTGTTTTTAATATCTTTCAATGTCCTGTTCAAGGCCTCAAGCGAATGTTTGTGTGTGTACATTCATATTTTCCACTCTAAGCACCGCCATCTCACTGCCTTTATGGACATAATTGCAAATGTATTTGATGCTCTTCACAGAACTGCAGAACTCAACATTAATATGAGCATTGTATGTTTTGCTCAGCAGGGGCGAATATGGCACGACCTAACGATTGTCAATATCAATGTCTGTGTTGCTGATGTTTTTAATAAATGATTGTCCGCCATTATATGGATTCCTTCGACGATATATTGGATATCCGTTGACATTTGTGATTGTATCGTTAGTGAAATCTTTAGGGAAATTTTTTGTACATTTTTCATCTGACATGCAAAGCGATGAACTAAAAATGTTTAACTACTACGCTTGAAGCATAAACACTAATAATAGCCGAAAACTGTAGAGGTAACATCCCTACTCCGTGCTGTTTACAGGGTGAGAAGTGACACCGGTAGACACATGGAGGGAATAATTTACCAAGTGATAATAATTGATGTTATCGAGCGGGATAGAAAATGATTAAATTACTAAAATGGCTATTAAAAAATAAGGGTTGATCGTAGAAGGGTGAAAATTGAGAATTGTATGTATTTTTGTATGTTGTATCATAAAAAATAGAAATTAAAAATTTTGTCTAAAAAATAAAAAGTAAAATTTAGGGGTGGACTACCCCTAACATTTAGGGGGATAAAAAATAGATGTTGGCTGATTCTCATAGATACCGGATAAGCACAAAAAATTTCATCAAAATCGGTCAAGCCGTTTCGGAGGAGTATGGCAACGAAAACTGTGACACGAGAATTTTATATATTAGATTATTAATCAGGCAAAGATAAAAAATTTAAACACTATTAACTATTCTGTACCGTTGTGAATCGTATTGTTTTTTTATTTATTGCTTTGATGGACGAACAAGTTCACAGCCCACCTGGTGTTAAGTGGTTACTGGAGCCCATAGACATCTACAACGTAAATGCGCCACCCACCTCGAGATATAAGTTGTAAGGTCTCAGTATAGTTACAACGGCTACCCCGCCCTTCGAACCGAAACGCATTACTGCTTCACGGCGGAAATAGGCGGGGTGGTGGTACCTACCCGTGCGGACTCACAAGAGGTCCTACCACCAGTGAATTTTGCTTTACTAACTTTTGAAGGCTTAGTTTAAACAATAGAATAAGACGAATATATTATAAAGATGTTTTTGTTTCGGAATCAAATTTTAAAGTGCTTTTACCTCGTCTGTTTGTAAGCTGAATAACTTATTTTTGTTTAGTAAGTGTAATTATGAAATTAATTTATAAATACACGCGTAGCATACTCACAGATGACGAACATTAAAAGTGAAACCATGAGACACATTCTATCTCTTTTACTCGCGGCCTAGTGTCATTTTTCGAGTTTATTATATTACCCAAACCATTGAGGGTCTAAAGAAGTTTTCACTACAAAAAATATAGACAGTCGCGATGTCAAATTAAACTCTAGGCATCCCTTTCGCACATTTACCTCTCGATCCAACACTGCTTCCAACCGATAAGCTCGAATATTGACATAAGCATGTTGCATCTGAAAACATTAATTGTTATTTGTTAGTAAATGATTTATATACATGTAATAGAACTGGACAGAGACGCGTAGCGGAGCGTTCTGTTGGAGACTCCTGTTGCACTGCGTTTGGAGGGTGGAAGTAGGAAGTACTTCGCGTATTGAACAGTGTCCGTGGAAAAGCGGCCGGTAGGGCGGCGCTACCGTAGCGTATGGTGTTAATTTTAAGGTAAGCCGTGTGTTGTGACATAAAAACCGAATTATTGAAAAGTTCATTATGTAAAATGAATAATATTTTGTTTTGTTTGGTGGTATGCTATAATATTAAGTTTGTGTTCCTAATTCTTCTTTCCTTCTGCAGGCCTATTGGAAGAGATTTCAACATGAAATAAGTAGTGCCCTTGGACCCTGTATCCTTACTGTCGTATTTTTTCTAATAGCTGTGTGTACAAAATATATTAAATAAATAAATAAATATTTTTCAGCTCACTGAATTTCTCGCGGGATCTTCTCAGTGGGTCACAATTCCGACACCGGTGGTATTTTTTTTCCTACCTAAGCTGATGGTCTAGAAAGACCATGTCAGCGTCCACCGTCCAACGGTGCTGGTTCAGCGAGGTGCTGCTCTAGCTAACGGTGCTTTTAGGTACCACAAGCACCGGTCACCGTCCTCGTCGAACCCGTCGCTTGCGACGAAGGGCTCGACGAGCGCATTAACCCGTAAACACAGCCCACTGAGTTTCTCGCCGGATCTTCTCAGTGGGTCGCGTTTCCGATCCGGTGGTAGATTCTGCCTAGCNCACCGTCCAACGGTGCTGGTTCAGCGAGGTGCTGCTCTAGCTAACGGTGCTTTTAGGTACCACAAGCACCGGTCACCGTCCTCGTCGAACCCGTCGCTTGCGACGAAGGGCTCGACGAGCGCATTAACCCGTAAACACAGCCCACTGAGTTTCTCGCCGGATCTTCTCAGTGGGTCGCGTTTCCGATCCGGTGGTAGATTCTGCCTAGCACTGCTCATGTTAGCAACAACATCAGGTTTGAGCCCCGTGACCGCTGAATTGGTCTCTCAAGACCTTCAGCTTAAGTAAGAAAAAAAAACTATTTTATGGGGTTCACATTTCATCTACGCAATGGACATGTACTTGAACAACATACATTGCGTAATCGTATTGCCAATCATAAAAAATATTAAAATTAATATTAAAATATTGAAATTTTTTTAATTAAAATATATTAATTCTTTCTGCTCTAGCTGTTGGAAGCGTTATTTTAAACTATGTCTCGGGCTGATTCTTCCGTGACGTCATCACATCGTTAATTGCACAATGCGAATTAATTTTATTAATTAGAAAATAAACGCCCACTTATTTTATTTTAAATTTAAATAACGTTATAATTTCGGTTCGGCATTACAATATTTTATTTGCTCGATGCTTTTAATTGAACTTCAATTATGTTTGCTCCATTGAAATAGCTGAAGATGTTTTTTTGTTACGATATTTTTTACGAATTTTAATCTTTAAATTACTCTTCCGTAAAGTTGTCAAAATGTCGCTTAAGCCAAATAACCTTTCACTCTTCGATATCTCTATATATAAAAATGAATTGCTGTTTTTTTTTTTTTTTTTTATTGCCCTTGTAGGCAGACGAGCATACGGCCCACCTGATGGTGAGTGGTTACCGTCGCCCATGGACTTCAGCAATGCCAGGGGCAGAGCCAAGCCGCTGCCTACCGCTGTTCGTTAGTCTCGCTAAAACTCGAGAACGGCTGGACCGATTTGGCTAATTTTGGTCTTGAATTATTTGTGGAAGTCCAAATAAGGTTTAAAGCGTAGATAAATATGAAAATGCTCAGAATTAAACAAAAATAACAATTTTGTTTTTCCTTTGATTTGTCCCCCGTCGGACGGATTCCTTTTGTTTGTTTTAAGTTTATTTTATACAAAAGCTTAGGTCATTTATTTATCGATTGAGGCACTACGAAGTCTGCCGGGTCAGCTAGTATATAATATAAATCATTCGGTCTGCGGTTAACTTTGGTTATCGCGAGCCGTAAACCCAAGTTTAATCTGGCATTTTCAGTCATCATCATCATAATCGGTTGCTCTTGACAGAGCAGTCGTGGTAATGTGGAATTCTTGCCTATTAAAATTATTTTCAATACTTTACTGTGAAATATTCGAAACTTCATTAATAATACGACAATAACAATACGATATCAAAACGATTTTATTTGTACTGAGTCTTAAATTAGCCACTGTTTGACAGACTTATCCATAAAGAACATAATAAAGGCAATCCTTCTTCCGTTATTTTATGTTGGTACTTTTACGTCTATAATGCCTATGAATTGCAGAGCTGCCAACCTACGCAAAACGCATTATGTGTCAAAGCATTATGACAGTTATCGTGTATACAGATAACGAACAATTTTGTTTTTAATTTAACTAATTTATAATTGTTTTTATTTACTGCATTATAAATTACATTCAGACTTTGATAATAACAGTGAATGCGGCGAGCATTATCAGTAGATGTATAAATTTATGAAATAAAAATAAAAATGTTGCGTATTGACACCGCTAGATGTCACTAGTTATACCTTTTTTCAATTAACGTTTCATTATTTATCACCCAAAATCAATCATTCACTCAATTCGTTCAATTGTTTTATTAAGAGAACACAAAATAGAGCCGTTAGCGATCTATTAATATTAATGACAGTGTTAATGGCCAATCTCCGTTACTGCGAATGAATTTATGCGAATAAGTGTATTATTGCATCTATAAAAATGATTTACAGTGCATTAGATGTATCTATACACAATTGTGAATATATTATTTAATATATTGAATACCTTGATGATCCAATTCTGATGTAGGCCTGCCAGGGAAACGTCCCGAAGCCGGCGTCGTCACCTCCAACAATCCTGCGTTGAGCCGTCTGTTTGTTTGTTGCTATACCGCACCCTGAAAATCGAAAAAGTTTCGGTCATTGTATAAATAAATAATATTATAGTTTAAAAAACAACTAACAAAATACGCTTTCATAGAAAATCCAACTAAAAACAAGAAAATAAATTTGAATTAAAAATATTCAGTCTTTTTTAAACTATTATTTATTTTTCATTTTTTCACCGTCACCGTCTAGTAGTTTTAACATTAAACATACCATAACGGATCAAATGATCAATTTTGAACTTTTGCATTGAAAGTGCACGTACCATCTTATTGCTTTTGGACAATTGACTTCATGCTTTTCTTACCAATTAATCTACAGTTATTAGTTATACTAATATCTTTTTTGTTTTGATTTGTGTATTTTAAGTAATACTTGTATACTGTTATCTACCCGCTATGATAGAAGTAGGTACCAGTAAGTGTTGGTATGATTCGTATTAAAATACTAATGTCCACTCAATAGTAGAAATTCGTCCAGACTCACCGACACTTCACGGCTTAGATTAGTCTAATCTATACATATAAATAAAATTGGAGTGTCTGTTTGTAATATTGAAATAACGGCTTTTTACTACATGCATATGAATATATATACGGTACATACACCAAAATAACATTTTTTACAATTTTGTTTGTCTATCTGTCTGTCTGTCTGTCTGTTAGGTCCGGCTAATCTCTGGAACGACTGGACCAATTTTGACGGGACTTTCACTGACAGGTAGCTGATGATATAAGGAGTAAATTAGGCTAATTTTTTTAGACTAACTTTGCCCCGCGGCGGCGCGTTATGACAATAACCGCGGGTAACATCACGGGACTCAACTATCAATAATAAAATTTAATGTTTCCGAAGTAAAGCGAGGGCGGGTTGCTAGTATAAAATATTTTCTCTATCATTTTTTTTTTAGTAACCTCAAGGGCTTATACTAGATTCACCGAACTAGGCTCTAAGCTGACGAATTTGCTAACACTAGCCCTAGTAAGAGCAGTGCTTCGCAGAATCTACCACCGGATCGGAAACGCGACCCACTGAGACTATCCGGCGACAAACTCAGCGGCCCATGTCTGTGAGCAATCGTTTCTAGACATACCGTTTGACCATCATTGACAGTGGATATTAACTGTCAATTGTATACTATACAGGGTGTTTAGTACGAGCTTTTTAACTTTTCGATCGCGTAAAAGTTAACTCGAATTTGTATTGAGTTGGAACAGCGCCCCTAGCGGCAAACGAAGGGAAGCTGTTCGAACTCCACACAGATTTGAGTTAACTTTTACGCTATCGAGAACGTAAAAAAACTCGCACTAGACTCGCACGGTACCATCCTTAAAAGAAGGAATGGCTGACTGCCTAGCGGCAAAAATATACCATGATGGTACTGCCGCGTGCGAGATTAAAAGACGCCATACCTTTGTAAGTCCGTAAGGACTAGAACACTGCTTAATTACAGGGCGGAACAGGAGTGCTTGAAATACAACTGAAATTGCTTCGTCCCCCGGCTAGTCGCGACGAGGATTCACCTGTAGCGGGCACCCACCATTACTGGTAGTAGGACCTCTTGTGAGTCCGCACGGGTACGTACCACCACCCTGCCTATTTCTGCCGTGAAGCAGTAATGCGTTTCGGTTCGAAGGGTAGGGTAGCCGTTGTAACTATACTGAGAACTTAGAACTTATATCTCAAGGTGGGTGGCGCATTTACGTTGTCGATGTCTATGGGCTCCAGTAACCACTTAACACCAGGTGGGCTGTGAGCTCGTCCAACCGTCTAAGCAATAAAAAAAAAACACAGGATATTTGACAGATGCCTGAATCTCGTTTACGACATTTTCAAGATAAGCTTGCCTATTGCTTGGTAATACGAGTTCCAAACCACAATCACTGTCCTCGTCGAGCCCGTCGCTTGGGTTCGACGAATGAATTAACCCATAGACACAGCCCATTGAGTTTCTCGCCGGATCTTCTCAGTGGGTCGCGTTACCGATCCGGTGGTAGATTCTGCGAAGAACTGCTCTTGCTAGGGCCAGTGTTAGCAACGCTCCCGGTTTGAGTCCCGTGAGCTCACCTACACGTCAAAGAGAAGCTGAAATAGCCTCCCAAGGCTATCAGCATAGGTAGGGAAAAAGTTTTTTTTTTATTGCCCTTGTAGGCAGACGAGCGTTGTAATGTTTAAGGGTGCCCCCGAGATCCATAATGCGCGAGAGCCGTCAATCATCTCGTCTCGGAGTACCTCGTGGTGGTACAAATTACAGACGTAATGCATTCTTTATAAGAGCTGCTAACAGTTTCAATGCTCTAGCTGACTTCCATGAACTGGACATTTTCAACACTTCTACTAAGAGTATTAGGAGATCTTTAGTCAGTCGATGGTTGAATGCAAATATTTAATTAATTAGTTTCTATTTACTACGTTTTTCTGTGTTTTTTCTCAAATTGTTTTATTTTTGTTTTTGTTTTACGTTTTACTTTAATTATTTAATTCTAGGCGATGCGACGTCACAATCGTTTGTAGTAATTTAAATGCGGCCCACCTGATGGTGAGTGGTTACCGTCGCCCATTTACTTCAGCAACACCAGGGGCAGAGCCAAGCCGCTGCCTACAAAGCATGAAGGTGAAGCATCTTCCCTCTGTCGTTATTCCCACACACCGATTCTTGGATGGGCGTGAATAGAAACAACGCAAAAATCGCATTTATTTAATATAAATGAGGTTTATTTCACGTGTACATTAAGCTAATACTTTATTAACGAGAAATGCCGTAAACGTTACCGCCTCCAAACAAATGTATTAAAATGACACAATGTTTTCTAATATAATATGTGTATTCTTGAACCGTAATGTCTTATAAATAGAGCTTAAAATCGAAACTGTACCTTGAGATTTTATGGGCTTCATTATTTTCGTGAGATCCTTCGTCAATTTCTTATTGAAAATACGCGTGCTCACGTAACTTGTTGAAGCAAAGGTACACATTATTATGATTAACGCTTTCAAATAATCCATTTTGTATATAAAATCCGCATATGTAAATACGTGGCTTGTTCAAAAATAAGTTTAAAAAAAAAAAAAATGAATTAGTAGTATAATTGTAATTTAGTTTGGAAATAAATTTAAAATTGCCACTACACAAAAACACGCCAGTACACTTAGTTTATATTTATTTTTCTTTAAAACACCAAACAGCTATCGATCGATATTTTTTATTTTATTATAATAAACGTTTCAAATCACACAACCTTTCGATAATATTATATTCTAATTCAGTATCCACCATTTGATAATGTGTTTAACTCGAAAAACTATAAAACTGATATTATAAAATTATTTTCACATTTGATTCAATCCTCAAACGTGCTCAATGAAGCTATGAAAACAAAACACTGTTGCAAAACTCCTTTATATATTACGATCATGGTGTTTTTGCATAGTATTTGATACCTGCGTATGAGGAAAGAGGCAAGGATATTCCGGTATAGTAATTCGGTTATTTCACTAATCAGAAATTGCAAACTCTGTTTATTGAGAAACCGTAAGATTCGGTTGTGCATATTGTCCGCTCTGGTCTATCCGTCACGACCAAACCTGGACTTTTTGATAAAACCAAATTCTTTTTTTTTATTGCTTATATGGATGTGAGGACGAGCTCACAGTACACCTGGTGTAAACTGGTTACTGGAGCCCTACATCTACAACGTAAATGCGCCGTCCACCTTGAGATATAAGTTCTAAGGTCTTAGTATAGTTACAATGACCGCCCTACCCTTCAAACCGTAACGAATTACTGCTTCACGGCACAAAATGGGCAGGGTAGTGGTACCTACCCGTGCGGACTCAGAAGAGGTCCTACCACCAGCTCTTACAAAATACCGACCGGACGGTATGCTTCCTTTGAATGTTCCAAACGTTTGATCTTCGCTTACGACTATTCCAAATATGCAAACAAAAGACGTCACATTCGCATCTCCACCAATAGTTGGATTATAATAATGAATTAACAATGTGTTGCGTCCAATTTACGTCACAGGAAAACTTTAGAAGCAAAATACTGAACATACGAAACATTTAAGATAAACAAGGAACATTAGATGCACTAAATACGCGTGTTTTACGACGTGACGTGGCTATACAAGTCCATGGACAACAGAACGCGGATGAAGCCTTCATAGAAATTAATAAAGTGCGCAAAATTACATTATTTTTTTATTAAGCTATCGCATAGCTTTTATCGCGGGCTTTGAACGCGGCGACCGAATCAAGAAATTCCGTAACGAAAATAAAACCTAATATTTTTGTTGAGTGTGAGGGAGTCCATATACTTAGAGTCCCTTCTTTATTTCGCCGTAAAATCGTGTTTTATGTAATTAACACCACAGTTGAAACAATATTACTTTTATTGTTGTAACGGCATAAATAATTCTAAGATATTATATTATATTAGTTATTATACATATTATATTTTATTTTTACGTTTTAAATTTTTGGCGGTAAAAAGGTCCCGTCACAGACTATATTCTTTTTCTCACCTCTCGTGCGTTCCGGCTTACGCAACATAAAAAGGGGCGTTCTTAAACGCCAAAAGTGCTTGAGTTGGTTATCTATAATTAATTTATGTGTATTATCTATGATATAAATATAAAAAAAAAGACATTCCCGCTGAGTTTCTTGCCAATTCTTCTCAGGACGGAGGCTAGTTCTTGTGAATTGGCGGTACTTATTTTGACGTTCAACAAGTATGTACTTTCATTTATGTTGAATAAATTTTTTTTGATTTGATTTGATTTGTTTTTTTTTTTTTTATAAACAATCACGCCACGTTAACTGGTCCCGTGATAAGTTCGTAAAGAACTTGTGTTACAGGTACCAGATAACGGATATAAATGTAAGATTTTTATTATACACATACATATATTTAATATACATCCATAACCCTGGAAAAGACATTTATATTTATCATACAAATATCTTCCCTTGGCGGGATTCGAACCCGCGACCTCCTTGTGTAGTGACT